ATACTGAGTGCATAACACTGTGGCCAATGGGTGTCAGTAGGTATCAAATATGAACTCTTACTGACAATGGTGGTCTATGATGGATATACCAGATGCGCACGAGGATCCAAGATTGACAGACCTCTAGATTAGTACCAGGCTCTCATAAATTGTAATGCTTATGTAATGTTGTTCACGTTGGAGTCCGGGCGCAATGTAAGGAATACTGTTGTTATATAGACTATACCCTCGATCAATAGAAAACTGTTGGAATTTAGAATAATTGGGGCTATCAAGTGGGCCACGTTGCTGATCTACACGTGACTGCAAATTGTGTACTAAGTTTCACTTCGGTAGTTACTTGAATCAATGCGCTCTACAACCTCAATGACTGAGGGGTCATTATTTCCTTAACAAAAACCAAGTTATATCTAGTCTTAAGCTCTACTATACATATTGGTAGTTTGGAGCCACGAGACACCCGTAACCTACGCCATCATAAAGCTAAGCTTATCTGACTTTTCACACATACTAATCCATCAGGAACCTCACGCATCCCAACGATTGATAATATTATCTGATGGATGGTGTGAAGAATGATATTATTTAGATTGATTCACTAAACTTGGCAGGTGAAGAGATTGTAGATTACATAAACAGCGTCTGCGCACCAGCCTGTGCCGGCAAAGACGAATTCTTGAGCTTCCAGTGGTGCCGGTGTAATGGCTCAGTATGCTCTGTATATCTGGGATAGCCAATAAGAATCGCATCCTAATCGAAGTCGAAAGCACTTGCAAGCACATCTAAAATAAACGACTCATCGTCAATGTCGGACCTATCATTTTCACGCGAGTCCTCTACCTCAATCTTACCACACTACCTCGCCTCAAATACCGATAATGGCTTTACTCCAATTGCAATCGGGCATTTGCCCCATCAAAAACCGGCCGTCTCCCACTACATATTTATGATGCTATGTATACCCGCGAGGAGGAATTCAAGTCATAATCTAATAAGCTCGGGTCATGGTCTATGAGGGACTGTTTGTTACAGGCTGCGCCTATCTCCTAGTGACTGTCGCACGGACACTTATCATTATTACGTCATTAGCCTTGCTATCTAGAGAGATGTCCAACTTGGCCATACAAATACAGGGTTGCAACAAATATGGAAACAAGATATTGTTGCAGCAAGTCTCATATGGAATCATGGGCCGATACGACCCAGATTCGCTATGACGAGCCCACTCGGAATATCAAGGATATGATGTAGTAGAATAGATAGTGAGGTTAGCGCATTGGGAGTTGGGACACCTTAAGTAGCATCCCCTCGGTGGACAGTTCCGAGATGTATGTAGAAAATAGACAGTAATCGGCCACCATTCCTTTACTATATTGTTTTGTTGATCGCCCATCACACTGTTGCTCTAATAAGGCTTCACATCTTGAGGGAGGACAGGCAGCTGGGACGAACAAGCGAAGAGGTCACAAGTGGGCATGCTGGGACGCTCATTTTTCGAGTGTCTTCAACTTAAGATTTTCTGCGGGTGCAGAAGCAAAGATTTTAGATATTGCAATCGATACTCTAAAAATTGGCAACGATGGAAGGTGTTTTGGTCCGCCTCCTGGTCGTCATCTCCCCGAATTAAAGTCTGGATAGCCTGGACACTTACCTCTCTCGAGAAAAGGAGGACTGTGAGGCCATATCTCGCGCGGCGGGTATATACAAGATGGCAAAGGCATGTTAGGCTAGCCAAAGGTTTTTCCTGTTTTCCATTTGGTGGATGTTAACGGTTGAGGGAAGGGTGAAAGTCCCTAGCACCAAGGTCTCGAGTGGTATTAGCGAATGCACCCACTACATGAGTAGTCCAAATGTCGAACTGAGTTATTGTAGTATATAGTCGTCGGAGAAGCTTGTCTTCTCCGTGTCATGCTCTTTGAGTGCAGGGCTTGTGCCCGTCACGAATAAACTTAAATTCGTTCTTTTTTTTTGCATCAGATTTTAATTGCGTATGCAACTATCTAGCTATGACACAATATCAAAGAAAAGTACAGAATAGATGATTGAATGTAAACGAAGAGCACTCATGCCTCAGATTTCATTTGCAAGTACCACTGCGAAGTTATGGTGGCTTTTTCTTCACCCCAAGTCAACCCTCATCCGTGAATACCCACCCAGGGGAACGTCTCAAAAACCCTGAGTTATCCAGACATGCCTCCATCATCCATCAACTTTTCTCCGCGCGAAATGTAATCTGAGATGTCTCCTTCCCAAGTGGAGTAGGTGCCCAGGCTACTCAAACCATACCAGAGAACACCACCAGGAGGCGGACCACGACACCTTCCATCGTTGGCTCGCTTTTATAGTGTCAGCTGCACTCTCACAAGCGAAGTCTTGGCGCGCACAAAGCTCAATTCGTAAAGCTGCTTGCCAAAATTCGGAATTTCACTCCCTTCAAGGTTATATCCTTCCTTTGCATCATCTTGTAAACTTGTCCTGACCCCTCTCAAGTCTATCCCAAAGAACTGTCTCGCAGATTTGTGCGCCACGCTTTGCTTCCTTCGTCGGGTATAAATATCGGCGTGGGCGTGTATTTGGTGGTCAACTGAGACCAGAGAAGGTCGAAGAGAGGTGTGGTCATTGGGATGAGGATGTACTAGGTCGTACTTGTAGACTTGATGAGACTTAGGTAGGCGTCAGACTCGTTGGGAGCGGAAAAACGACGTGGTGGAGTAATTTTAAATTTTGCCTCGAGGGCCAACTTCTTTGATATTGCGAAATTTGGCTGAACTTGGCTCTGGGAGAATATTTCACTCCCAGGTTCGTAGAGGACACCGCGTACAGGTGTTCAGTCTTGCCCTCCTTAAATTCGTTCATACCGACAAGGGCAGAAGAAAAAGCGCACATTATAAATAATTTATCTACATGTGACCTGCTATAAGTGAGAATAATTGGAGCCATCGAGTAGGGCACGTTATTGACATAAATGTGACTACAAAACCTGTACTTGGTTTCACTTTGATAGTTACTTGATTGAATGCGCTCCATAACCTCAATTACTGAGGAGTCATTATTTCCTCAAAACTACTCTCTATATCTTCAAGAATAATAGACTGGGTTAGAAGTGGTACATGATGCGGCCCGGTCTCCTAAGTAGTACATGGATAGCTTGAACATCTACTCCATTTAAGACATGAGAAAGCTACTTCGAACCCAGTATTGCCCACGCACCCTATCCTCTCGCGGTGACATCGTATTTATTCAGTGACGAAATCCACTAGACGTGATGGGCTAGGACTTTCGGCAAATGCACGAAAGCGATGCCACAACTAAATTTTTACGTTATTATTATCAATTCATTTTATTGTCCTGTCTGAGTCGATGACTATGTAGGACATGCAGGTCTTCTCTACCTACAGGCCAAGGATACCTATGCCAGTAGTAAATCCCATCCTATGCCTCTCATACAGCTCCCCTCCAACAGTACCACCCCCCACAAGTCCTCATTCGATCATACACTAAGAGGAGCCCTTTGCCCTTCATTACCACTCCTCTCCAGCCAACGAAACGATGGCCGTTTTGCTGGTGTATGGCAGCCGGGAAAAATCCCAAAAATCCACTGAGTGCGGGGCTCTCCTGATACCGACATTAGGACTAAATCCGAAGACATAGTGCCCCTTCCGAAGCGTTCGAAGAGGCCGGCCAGCTGGGCGCTGCAGACTTGTGGGTACCTCGAGAAATCCGCACTCTGCCTTTCTAGCCTCCTTCCAACTCCTTCCCGAAGGTCGTGCTGAAATGTCAGAAAAGCCTTGACAGAGCGTGATTGCTGTATAGTCGCTTAGCCCAACTTCTTTCGTGACGTCCAGGGCGCTGGGGAGTGCCGTTGACTCATCGACAGAAGAAGTCCTCCCGGCTAATTAGCCGAAATCTCGGTCTTGGCGGCCACAAAAAATCCAAAGTTGAAAACTTGTCGGAAATATCAGTCCCAGCATGTTCTTCAGAGACCTGTTCCACCTCTCGCTGCATATCTCAGGCGCCTGTTCTCCCTCAAGTTGTTTGTCCCATTAGAGTAACAGTCCTCCATAAGCTAAGACCCAGGCTTTGTATTCTTCGACTTGATTTCCTCCTTGCGGGTATAAATAGAGTCGTAAATTTGTAGTGAGAGATGGCTGGAAATTAATGGGGCAAGCTCCTATATGCAATTGGAGCAACTTCTTTATTGGTCGTTGAGGCGAGATGATGCGTGGTTAGAGGGAGGCTGAGGACCGAAATGAGTATAGTATGAGAGGCATTGTTGAGAAGTCGTCAAATGGAGATGTACTTAAGGTTGCTTTCGACTTCGATTCGGATGAGATTCATCTTGGCTATCCCAAATATCCGGAGCATACTGAGCGATTACACCGGCACCACTGGAAGGTGAAGAATCTGCATTGCCGACACACGATGAGGATTGGCCCTACAGCCTTAAACAGCCCAGCCCTAACACTCGGATAACCATGGAATTTTCACGCATTCTCACTTCGAATTCATGGAATAAGATTGCTCCGTAAGAGTTAAATTCTCGTAATGTCTTTGAGTGAACCCTGATTGTAGGTTTCCCAAACGTCAAGATGAGACCTTCTACATCGAATACGTATCTTCCGAGAATACCTGCATGGACCTCAAGGCGCCAAATCAGGATGCTTGAAAATTTTTATTTACATTTAATTTGATAATGAATTATCTCAACGTCAGGATACACAAATTACCTGAGCCAAATAATTTTTTCCGACAATCGTTCTAAAAACAAATTATTCAGATACTCTTGTCGCGTTACTGATATACCAGCGACAAGTAATTAATATCCCAATTGAATCATTACCTCATTGCTCTACTTTCAAGACTTAAAATTCATCCTTGAAATTCTACTCAAAACTTGTTAATAGTACACCTTGTTGATTGATTGTTCGCCATCTCGCATAATCGCGAAATACAATTAGTGTAAGGATTATTTCAGAATTAAGATATCGTGTCGTACTTTCATGCCTCGTTTACCACCAACTCTAGTTGGCAAAGCTCGCAAGCGCTCACCCTTACTTCCTTTAATACTTCAAGTGACACGTTCATTGCCATCAGCAATCAACGAGCTCCGATGGCTTAGGGAACATGTGGCAAAGGCTAATCATCAGCCTTGTAATCAGGAATCTAGACGAAAACTTGTCAGGCTTGTGAAAAGGAGGGCTCGAGGTGAACCGCTACAGTACATACTTGGTACACAGCCCTTTGGAAATCTGGAGATTATATGCAAGCATGGCGTTCTTATTCCCAGGTAGGTTTATCTTAGAGTTCTTTGAGAGCCATAACCAATGATTATGACAGACCTGAAACCGAAGCGTATACCCTTCACCTTGCCAAACTCATTAGGACAAACCAGCTTCACACCTCGATCACCAAAATATATTCTCATCCAAAGCGTCAACTTAAGTCTGGAGGCAAGCAACAGCATGCAAATTTCCGTATCCTCGATGTCTGTTCAGGCTCTGGCGCTATCTCGCTCCTTTTGCGCTCAGCACTGCGAAAGATGGAAATAGCCACCTCAGATTTCTTCATTTTAGGCTTAGATTCGTCCGAAAAAGCGGTGACACTTGCGCGTCGGAATCGGGAGTGGAACGAAAAATTAGGACATCTTCCTCGAAACTCGTCACGAGAAATTAGGTTTCAACAACGGGATATATTTGAACCACTTGCGGACAATGAACAAATGTGGGACATTATAGTTAGCAACCCGCCTTATGTATCGCACGAATCTTTTGAGAGGCAAACAAAACGCTCGGTCAGAAACTTCGAGCCGCATAGTGCTCTAATGCCTCATGTTCCAAAACGGATTTTCGGCCTAACTATTAAGCCCGAAGATATTTTTTACAAACGACTGGTGGAAATTTACTACCAAACCTACTCTAAGGTGCTACTAATGGAAGTTGGCGATGCGGCACAAGCTATAAGGGTAATACAACTTTTTAATAGATACACAGAAAAGTCTAAGCTTTGTCGGGCGAACCCTAGCAGAGTAGAAATTTGGCGAGACTTTCCGAACGAGGACCCGGAGCCTGGAAAAATCTCAAAAGTCGTAATTGAAGGCGAAACGATATCAATTAAAGGCGTCGGGAAAATACGAAGCGTAATTTTTGTAAAATCTGGCCATGGTACACCGCAAACAAAAAAAGATTTTAAAATTAAGCATCTAATTCTTCCAAAAACAGCCAGTCAAAGTCTAGCCAAGCCTAGAAAACGGATTTATGGACCGCCGGAGCTAAAAGCAACATGGAAGATTTTGAACAGTCCGATGGGTACTGAGGGTAGAGTAACCCGAGGCATGGCGCGTGGCTGGAAAATACAGAAACCAGAGAAATCAACTTTAGCGGATGTATATGCACCCAAATATTTTGGGGAGGCAGATATCAAGAACATCAAAAAACATAGAGCTGCTGAATATAGAGATATGGGACTGGCCGCGAGGGCTAAAAGAGCGTTTATGAAGAAAGGGATATCTGACACAGACAGTGAGCCCTTCTGGTTTCGATGAAAAGGATTTTTTGAAGCACCGAACCAAGCGGACTATCTCCTAGAAGCTGCCACAACCACAACTTATGGCCCAAATAACCAAAGTAAATTTTTGATCAGACGCTAAGACATCCCTCTTATTGCTGAACTAGGCTTGTTGGTATGAAAACCTAAATTTCTGTGATATCACGGGTAATAAAGATCAGGTTGTCACTGCAGAAGTGGTGGCTGATGAAGATATCTCTATCTAAAACCTGTGGACCCCGCCGAAGCGTCAATACCATTTGTATCCACTTTATGCCTAAGGCATAAATAAAATCTCAGGCTTGTCGGAGCAAATGCTCCGACAATGACAACATTTTCTTTGTAACATACATTGCAAACCTTTTCAATGTCGATTACATTGATATCCTCTACCAGAAACTTCATCCAACCCATGAAAACAATACCAAGAAAAAAATAAGAACGTGTATCACACCACAAAATTCCTAAGATCAATTGTCTCCCATACCTCCCTGATGTCTTACATCTCCAACAACTCAATCTATTCCTCCCTGCATATATTCTCTTCAGTCAGTCAATAGGTCTAAATTTTTGGACCCGGCCACGCATACGTAAGATTATTCTGCTCGTGTTGTTAGTTTTTGAAGAGCTCTGTTTGCTACTGATTTGGTCATCGCGTCAGTAGGATTATACTTTTCGTCTATCCATCGGACTTTGTGAATTTTGCCCCTCTCGTACCTCTACCACAGCACCATGATATCGACTATCAGGTGTTTTTCTTTCGTCGTGCCGAGCTTGACGAGATAGTCGTATAGTGTCAGGTATCTAGGTGTCTGACCTACAGCAGGCGAATTGAATTCGAGTCTGAAGAAAATAGTATTTCAGTAAAAAAAACATGATTCTATTTTTCCGGAACTATAGTTCTATCTATACAAGTGACTATAAACACAAGGAAAATTAAAAACTTGACCACCCAAATAATTTTAGGCCATTCTCATTGACAGATGTCGTATGAAAAATGTAGTTTACCTAAAACAGCTTCGCAAGACTGCAAGGCTGAGTATACCTTAACCTAGCCCATACTCGCAGTAAGAGAGACAGTTAAGCTATGTTTATTCATGTTGGCTATCACCTCGTCTCACAATCTATTTTCATTACCATATCTATAAAGAATAATTCAATCGACATGAAGCTACCTGCTGCCGATGCAGACGACGAATATAATACGAGGGATATCAAGCTTCTGCATGGTGTTACCTTGTTGGCGATACAACTGGTGATTCCCGCAGTCGCAACTATCATATCGACGCCGTGAGCTATAATTTGGATTTCTAACGGCAGGACTCTGTGCGTCACATGTTTACACCTTGCGGACTACCAATGGAAAATGTTGCCGGTTGACTTGAAGTTGTGATCTAGTTGCCCCTCGCTACCGAGCACGATAATGTAACCAATCTGCGACATAAGGTCCTTGTTGGTCAAAGACGCGTCGACAAACACACAGAGTATTAAAGAGGAGGTCTTCTATCACTGTATTGCTGGATGGAACATGAGGGAATTAACGCAGTGAGATGATGTCGGGTAGAATCAGAAAAATTAAAATATTATTTTCACACAAAGATAGAGACAGTCAAACTACAAAGTACAAATTTTCCTCACGCGAATAATCTGCATGAGTAGCGTAATTGACGTGACTCATAAGTTTGACTTTGACTGGTTCGGCTCGTCTCAGCAAAAATTAGACACATCTCATCATTTAACATAGAGCTTTAACCAAAGTTATCTAGCAATTCAAATTCGAAGTGAGCACATGAGGCTCAATTCGTATTTATACAGTAGAAAAGTACCCGGATTCTATAGTCCAAGCTATCCATGTGTCTACCAATCGAAGATCCCCAAGCATATGAATATTCTCTGCTCTCGATGGTCAAATAAAAGAGGAGGGATTTGGAGACAATCCAAAGATTGATCCTTTGAAGCAATGATAAATAATCCTAGCGATATCAAAAATATTACACAGTGGATCCTAAATCATAGTTGGATCGAGCAATTCTTGGGATTGAAAGAGATAATGTGTTTGGTTTACATTGAGGGCACTATCGTGTAATTGCGCTTCCTGAAGAACATACGTGAAAACCAAAGACAACAGGAAGGTTTAGGAGGGTTTCAATGATAGGTTTTCTCATATGTAAATATATAGATAGGTTTATAGGCATCTGCATGGACCCATATAGCTCCAAGTCAGGTTAATGAAATCAAATTCAAACAAATATTTATTTTCTGATATTCAACAGTACATAACTCAATCACCTAGCAGTATTCTCTTTCTGCAATTTGAATCGTTTGTTGAATATCACTGTCTCGCCACTGTTTGGATTCTTCTATCGTGCTGTTGGCGTTAAGTCAAAGGTATCCAGCTGGTGTATTGTCGCAGTGTAGGCTCCTCGAACCCTTGATAGGATTTATGACTTGCTGTCAGTTGCCCGTATATGCTTCTCAGTCTGATCATTTTGTTGCGGGACTAATTCGTCACCCTCAAGTGTCAGTTTCCATTTTTTGAAGAGAGGATGATCTTCTGATAAGAACTTCTTCGGTTTTGCCTCGAAGGTCAATTTCCAATTCTCGCTCTCCATGAAGGCCTCATCATTTGGGCCTAACGTGTCGCCGGCCTGCATTCCAACTACTTCAAACGGCGGTGCCTCCATCGTGCTCACCGAAAGCCAAGCATCGAACGTTGACGTGTCCATGAGCAGCCTTTCATTCTAGTGGTAGAAGCACGCTACCCACTAGTTCTTTCCAGGTTGCGCTGGTTATTGATGTTATAAGATAATCGGAATAAGAGTTGCGGATGTTTGAGTTCACCGGAGGTTAATGGGAAAGTCGTGTTTGAGATATGTTCATATGAGTCTATCTGCGTCGAGTGAAAGATGTGTTCATCATGAAGAGAGAGAATACACGTCTTTATTTACACTAATCTAACCATCGTCATTTCCCAATTTATCTCCTTTGACTTCTTGGGAAAAGTGCAACTACTCTATGTGATAATGTTTTCCATGCATACCTTTGGATACACTCAGTATCACATCACTAGTCTACACAGGGCTTATTTTTTGTATATTAACGTGCTTGGCAATTGGAACCTTTAGCACTACTATATGAACCTGAGTACGAGTGAGACCATTCTGGATTAGGTTTACTACCATTGAGTACAATAAGCCCCGTCTGCCTGAATGACTGGACCACCTCAGATTTTGCCCATGTGTTGAATATGACAAGTTCAACCTTTCAGAAAACCCAATTTCGACGCGCTGAAACGCAATTTCCTCAGACTCAGCCACCATGCGCCCGAGACCTTGACACCCTCTCAATCTCTAATTTGTCCTTTCCGTTCAGTCCCAGTCAAGCCTCGTCCCAGCATCTCATAATCTCATCATCTCATTCAGGGGTCGTTCTCCTCATTGGAGACATCATGCAGTCCCCCACTAAGGCCTACTCAGATTTTATTATCTTTTCTTTCTCCATTGAAGCTGTCCTTCACTCTTATATCAACTTCGCCATGTTAGAAACTTTGTAGAATTTCCACCCTCTGGCCTTGACCTGTCGCTGCCATACCCCTAACCATGGAAGCCCAACATGGGTTGCAGAGCTCAAGACCGAGGCACCGATACATCAGCCTTCATCGAATTCTTTATTTGATGTGCGAGCGAAATATTGTACGTATTTCGCCGTTAGCCATTCGCAGTAAGACGAGCTTCTCGTTCATTTGGCCGAGGTATAGATAGATATAAGGCTGTTACTTCGAATGTACCTTCACAGCAAGTGATGGCTGCGACAGTATGAATATTCACTTGTATCTTTGATGACGAGTATGACCTTTGAATCTTGGGTACTTCAGTAGGTGGTAAGATGATAGTGGAGAGGTTTGCGAGATGAGATTAGATGGAATAGAACTTCCAGGGGATTTTGAGAAAGTCAAGAGTAACAGTTGTTTTAATGAGAACATCAGAAAGGTTGAGACTGTCTGCGCATCATATCAGGGACTTTATGATTGAGTTCGTTGGGTTTTGCAGTCACGAACTTCTGCATATCAGATTTTCGACCAAAAACTTACCACCACCACTCCTCCTGATCATCATTTCGACAAAAACTCCCAGATTTACCCTTTGTCGTAACTAAATTTCGGCTATGGAATAATTTTGGCTACCAGGTTCGTAGAGGACATCGCTAACAGATGATGGGTCTCGTTCCCCCAAGTCTTACATGAGTTGGGAAGTAGTATAGTATTGACTCATTCAGGCGTATGAGTACCCTATTCTTGTATTACAGAATATATGGTTAAGTCTCAAGTTATTCACAAGATCCTTTATAGATGGGCAGTGCATGGCCCCCAACATCCATTAGATATTTTTAAATTAGCAAAATATAACGACGAAATTTTAGCTAGACTTTAGCCCCTAGATTCTAGAAATCCTTTATCATCTACGACTAAGAAGGGTCATTACTAAATTCCTTATCTTATCTTTGTAGTTGGTGCTATATACACCACGTGATCAAGTGTATGGTTTCCTAGGATCACCCCTTATCTTATTATATTCACGAGTCGTGCCGGAAAACCTCAGTTGCCGACTATTAGACGCGGCGTACAAACCCAAAAGTTGAGGTCATTCAACATGAGATATGCGTTGAAACTGGTGGCATGAGCTCATTGCGACCGGAACATGTACAGCCAATTAGAAGGGAGAATGTAAGTTAATTTCAACAAGTGAAGTCAAGGATTCTTTGGCGCTGTCCAGTGCAGCTAACTTAATCCTCTCAGAATTAGTCGCAACGACATAGATTTAGGTGGCTTAAATGACTCCAAGTGTCTGGATGATGAGACAGAGCTGGTGCGTCATCTCGCTGCGATCTTCGGGCCAGTTCCATCACCCGTTCCGCCAGAGTGGCATCTCGTGGCCCCCGCTCCACATGAAGAGGAAAAATTAGAGACTGCGTACAATTTTCGACTATTCTCAGGCGCTGGCGCAGGTATTTCCACCATCACTGTTTCCCAATCAGACGAGATAGTTTGCAATGATATGTCTGGAGGATTTTTGTCGGCTCATCGTCCTCTTAGCTCATACATTGCAGCACCTGCAAGTGATGAGTATCGCCAACAGCTGATAGATATAGCGGTTGAGGGTGAGACTGTGTATTCCTGGAGTAAACTCCGGTCATATGCATGGGAGCGTCCATGGCGTGTGCAGGTAATCAATGTCGGTACTAAGCTGCACGCAGCCCAGGTATCCAAAGGCCAATTGCATAACAATATCGTCCCTGTAGAAAAGTGTGGCAAACGTCAACGACCTGGGAAAAAAAGCCGTATCGCTCTACGGAAACGTGTTCGAGCATGCGAACTTACCCAGATCGCTCATCGCGCCAAGCGTGTACGAAGAAACAGAGAGAAGAAACTGAAGCGTAAGGCTAAGGCAAAGGCCAGCAAAGCCCAACTTTTGGAAAATGCATCACAACCAGAAATCAACGCAGCAACTATCAACTCTCCTGTCTAACCTAGTACAACTGTTTTCACGTCTAGATGAACCATACCATCTTTTACATGCCAAGTCATAGCTATCTAGATATTGCGACTTAAACTTCTCGCAAATCTTACTAGAAGGGTGATAACAGCTGTAGTATTAGTGACAAGCAGTATGTATGGATAAGCTTATACTTAATGAGAAATAATACCAACCTCATATGACCCAGATATACATAAAACCTCAATAGTATTATAATCAAACCAGGTACAGCCGTAGACCCAAACAGATGTTGGGCGATCGTCGGTTTTATATACACAGAGGTTTACCATAGATTTTTTTTGCGAAACCATTTCGACAAGCCCCCTTGTAGTTTCAGTATGAGTCCCTCAAGATTGTCGGGTGTTTCCTGTTCGAGACCAGTCACGCAATCACTTTGTATCACGTCTAACACTCGAGATTGTGACGAAAATACGTGTTAACCTGACAGCGTAACTGATATCAGGTTTGTAGGCCGTTCTCTTGTATTCCGTAATTAGACACTCCACTCTAGCCCATGTCATTGCCAGACATTAATGTATATAGACATTCTCATTTCATTCAGTGAAGATTAAGAGTTTCGATCAAGCCTCTACTACAAACAAAATTTACATCGACGGATTCCCTTTGAAGTCTATGCTTCGTTTTTCTCCGTGATCACTGGAAGAGTTTTGATATATTTTGGTGACAATAAACCTATTTATAGAAAACTTCATCTCAAGTCACATTAGTCTAACATAGGATGCTGCAAGAGATTCTGGAGTGAGTGTTTATTGTCCTAAAAAGTCTGTAACTATGTAAGGACATGTAGGTCCATTCTGCCTAAATGCCGGGAGTATCTATGCCTTGGGTAGTGTACTTCCTCCTATGCTTCCTTCACGACTTCTTTCCAGCAGTAATACCCCCACAGGTCTTCATTCAAGTACACACTAAGAGGAGCCGTTATCCCGTAATTATCTCCCCTCTCCAGCCAACGAAACGATGACCATTTGCGGGTGTGTAGCTGCAGGTAAAAGTCTCAAAAACCACTGAGTGCGGGGCTCTCCTATGACGAAGAGGCCAGCCAGCCGGGCGCAGCAGACCTGTTCATAGCTAAGAGCGTCTCTCAACCTTCCTAGCCTCCTCCTCCTCCTCCTTCTTCTTTCCCAGATCCATACCGCATGACAAAGCGAAGGTCGTGGCAAGATGTCAGAAAATTCTTGGTCGAAAGTGACTTCCGTGAAAGAGCCTAGCCCAGCATCCAAAAATCGTTACTGAGATGGAGTCGTCGAGTAACTCATGTATTTCAGACGCCCTCCTAGCTAGTATGTTCGGAAGTTATGATTTGTAGGGACGATATTTTTGACGAGTCGAAATCTGCTTTTCTTGAGGGCGAAAGGTTCTCTTACTTTGTTTTCGTGGGCTTTTTGTTCGCCCGCCGGTGGGTAGCACATGTTGTGATATAACGAGGGCTTCTCTGACTACCGTTGTAGCGTTTGGTACCGCATTATCTCTCCTCGTTCCCAGCATCATTATCGTCGTCTTATGTGTTATCGGAAGCGTATCTTTGACGGAGGGGGAGATAACTCAGCTCAAAGTTGATAAGGTGTTACTCAATCTCGGCTCTGCAGACTTTACAGTGAGAGCTGGAAGTTCGTAGGGGGCACCACTGACAGGTGTTGAGGAAAGTCCCCCAGAGATTCTGGAAACTGTGCTGTGTAAAGATGCACTCTTTGAAGTAACGACATTGATGATTCAAAAATAATTATCTAAGATGAGGGAGCCTCGACTTTACGGCTGAGTGCAGGCAATACTAAACACCGCCATGGCTGTATGGTGCGATGGTATATCACCTTGGACACAAATCCCACTCGAGACAGTAGATCGCAGGTTCTGATTCAGCAAAATCAAAACACATCTCTCGCGTTGATGGTATACATGGCTGATGAAGGCATGCTTGGATATTCAAAGGTTTTGAATTTCCATTTGGTGAGTGCCTACGGAGTGGGGTCAAATGTTTGTGTAAGCAAATACACCTCATGGTGGTATTTGCGAATCAAATCCAGAGTATGAGTGTCTCCAACTTCATAAGAGTCATTGCCGTGTATACATAGCACCGATCTTATTTCATAACTATACAGCTAAATAAACTTAAGATATTGTGGAATAAAAACGTTGCAAATGGAAGAATTCAGCTGTCGTATTAATGCGATTAAAGGTATAATATCAAGGAGTATTGACAGCCAGGGTACCAGGTTTGACATTTCGAACTCCACAGATAAAATATTAAAAAAGTAGACCGAGTGGGGCTGGGATTCAAAATTCACTAAATTGAGCCATTCATACAAGCTCGTATAGCACATGCAATATTGTGAACATTTTAAAGACAGAAGAAAAATAGTAAGTTATTTAAAAGCCGAGAAGGCTTGTGCTAATTCTCGTGCATCGGAGCCAGAAACAAATTCCTCCACAGCCTTGAGTCTATCTTAGCTAATTCATGCCCCCTCACATAGTGCTCTGTCAATCTCTAGTGTTTAGCTGATTCTGCAATTTGTTAATACTGCACTCATAATATTTAAAGAATGCAAGAAATTACCTTTGTTGACGTTGGCTTTGGTGTTGTGAGACATTTCATCTTTCTTGTCAACAACGGCATCTTTTGCTGCTGTGACTCGGGAGGACAAGTTTGATTCCGAATCCTTAGCAACGCTCTTGTTTGCCTCTTTAGAGGCCTCAGCGCCACTACCTTGGATAGACTCAGTGACGTAGTTGGCAGCTTGCTATTAAATTTATTAGAATCAGACAAAACAAAATCCAGAGAAAGCTTGTACGAAACCTTACCTTTACAGTGTCCATTTTGAAGTTGGAAGGTTACTTTGATCTTGTGTGTGATTTTGTAGATTGAGAAGATGAAAAGATGAGAAAGTATCGAGATGAGTACTGATGGAGAAAAATGGAGATTCAATCAGTTCTTTAAGTACTGAATTTTTCCCTAGTGGCTTGCACTTGAATGACGTCGATTCTTATTGATAGCACTTTCTCTCTGAAGATCAGAAACAACCTTCCTCATTTGGATATTGAGTAACAGCAAACATCCCAAACCCCTCCGTATCTGGTTGTCCGCAGCCATGAAGCAGGCTTATGCGTCTTTGGCAGGCTTAATTGTGGAACAGAACGACGTATAACGGCATATAGCTTCCACATGCTAGTGATAGATATTGTGAAATTTCAAAACTGTGTCATAAGGAGCAGTCTTATTTCAGGGACAAGTAAGCTGACCATTGTTTGCTCGGACAGGATGTATTAAGATTATGAGTTTCACGCGCCTATCTCACGGAATTGCTAAAAAATAGGTTCTTTCATAAACTTTTGAAATCATGAATGCCCATCACGGTTGATCCTATGTTAATTTTCAACCAAAGCCAGGTTTAACACGTCACGTCATCCACCGTAGTGGGTTCACATATAGATGACATCATAGAGTATCGTCTCTATTCTTGAATTATTGTCTGACAATGGCGACGGTAAATTGCCGTAGGGCCGTGTATTTCATCGATTGTATAACTTAACTACTATTATTCAGAACTCGAAATATGTCTGAGGTTGTACGAGTTTATCACTGTAATACTTGCCATAATCCTTTTCCACCTTTTCTAAACTAGGCAGGTGCATGAAAGTTAAGAATTTTGATCCTATGCGTCAAGGTATGGCTTCGCGGGTAGCCGCCCTACAAAGGAATAACCTCTTGCTATTCCCTACGTTGGAATATAAAATTCACACGCTGGAATGACAATCGGAGTCATTTTCTCAGTGAATTTTTGGTAATCGTAAGCAATTGTTTGTGCGTATCGTGGCGATATCGGCGTGCCCGGAATTAGATTTCAAGTTTGTGACGCTCATGATTCAAATTATCTCCGATCCTTGTCGCCGTGTAGTCTGCTGTTAATCTAAGATGCGCTAAGAAGCCTGCAGATGTGGTAGATACCTCTGTCTAACTGCTTCGGTGAGCTCATTAGTCTGGAATCGATTCACTTCTTATGTTGCTGATGTATATAAATGGTCACAGTTTGTTGGGTAAGCCTATTTGATACTTGACGGCGAGTGATGACCGTGGTAAGCTATCTTGACAACCGGCTAATTACCTTCGCGTGAATTCAAGCAATGTCATAATCTGTCCTGGGACATGGGCAATATTTCTATGGGCTAAACAATGGCTATCTGCACCATGGTTACTAGGTACAGTGCTCATTTTTGATATGTGGAGTCGTCACTGTCGCTACCAGTCGTTACATTTGTAGACGCATTATTCTTTCACCGATTAGAAGTGTTACGACAATGTGAGATTTTTTCACATACAACAATTTAACACTTAGCACAAATCTATACGAGAATCCTGTGATGTAAGAATAGTTCGAGAAACTAGCAAAAACTAGGGTGTCAAGATTATCAAAAATCTCAACGGTTTATGGCACAAATTCGTGCTACTGTCTAGTGTTCACAATATCACCCGCACAAGGGTTGCTGATTGGAGTATAGTACATGATGACGTAGATTTTTCCATTATTGGAACTTCTAGAATTAGATCAATATCAATTCTGTAAAAGGTAATATTAGGAAATTTCTATCGCATTCATACAATGGAATCGTATGTAGACTGAACCTCTCACACCAAACAAGCCATATTTTTGGTTTTATCTCGGGGAAGGGGAGGTATGAGAGGTGTGTTTATTGTACTACTTGAGTCTATGACAATCTAGCACATTGAGCTCCTCTCTGGCCCAGGCCACACCTTGTACAGTGCTTCTATCATCTTCTATTAAAAGATTGTGAGTGGATGCATATTTACAGTCTCTTATGGGTGGCAAAGGTAAAATTGTCAAATGACTGGGATTAGATCCCTGTACATATTGCCTTAATTGGTATGGTCTTCATGCAGGCCCATGTCTAGTTACTCGACTAGTTATGCAAGCAAGGGGTGCTATCCAATGACATTCCGTGAAAGTCTGAATTATGGGGATGGTTTTGAACTCAATGGGAAAAGTACAATAGTCCTCAGTTGAAATTCAAAATTGAAAAAAGTCAATTGATATTCTCTAAAAATGCACATCTATTTCAAAAATAATTGCTCTGTATTACAAAAGTCTACATCGAAGCCCTCAGTATGGCTCGCAACTAAAATGAAAGCGTGCTACATGTTTTATGTGTCTTCTCCATTCTAATACTTTGTGTACCCTCCATTTGCCTTTATCACTGCTACGTATCTTTCGTGCATGCTGCCGACTAGTGACAATAGCTCCTCAGAGGGTATAGAGTCCCATGCATCCTGTAGCAATGTCTTCAACGTGGCAGAGCGCACAAGCCTGACCCCATTTTTCTCAGGACTATTTACTTGAATGTGGTTTTTTAAGATGTTCCATAGTGACTCAATTGGGTTCAGGTCCGGAGATTAAAGTGGCCATCTCATAGGCGTTATTCCAACCTCACGTAGTGCCTTAGTTGTTGAGTGTGCTTTATGACTTGGTGCGTTGTTGTGCATGTATAGAATTCCTGGATTTTCCATGTGAAATTGATTCAAAAGTGGCAAAATCCTTTCACAAAAGGATGAGGACCTCATTGATCCCCAATCCTTCTCCCAGACTAGGAATGGGCCTTTTTGTGATCCGTAAAATGATCCCCAAAACATCCAGCTGTTCCCATGAGTATGGCGAGCCACAATACAAGTCTCATCAAACTCATCATCAGGCTTAACTCTACTGTTAGTACAAGGAAGATTTAGATAGAATTTAAACGTAATTTTCTTGTGACACGAAGTTTCATATGACAATCACCCGATACCCAGGTTTCATAAGTCCATAATATGCGACTCCATAGTTCATCGCTCCAATCTAAATGTAATTGGGCGAACTCCAATCTTTTCTGCTTGTTCACTGCGCTTAACGGAGGCTTCTTCCGAGAAATGCATCTGCTGTAACCTCTTTTTTTGAGTGCATTGGGAATTAGACGTTCACTACATCCCCAGTGGCTGAAGGGCCCCATGGCTAGTTCCAAATAGCACATCTGTCGATTTTCAGGAGACTCCCGGACGAATACTTCAAGGTCATCAACTTGTTCCGCGCTTAATTTTGGTGAGGGTCCTTTGCGAGACATAGGATTCTCTGTCTCTCGAGCACACGCAAGTTGTACTTGTCTTATTGTGAAGCCAAGTTTGTCGGATATATTTGGAAGTGTCAAGCCAAGTCTTCTTAATGCTCTTATTTCTATACATTGATCGCGAGTTAGATGCTTGCGAACTTAAGCTTCTGAAGTAAACTTTTCGAGAGACATTGTTTGCCGGAATAGAGGATGAATTGATAGTGGTGAGAAGTTTCAGTGGCTGTATGGGCTTGACAGCCAAAAATGTCGTTGAAAATGTGTTTTACTGTGCGATTATTAGAAGAAGACGATTGGACCATACTTCATGGCGAGCGGGGTAAGGAGGAGAGACATACTAACCTGTTACGAGCTAGCCCAACTGCGCCTACAGGGCTAATCCCTTCAACGACCCAGTTTGAAGTTTTACCTTTTGGAACCTAGAGGCACTGTATACACAGGAAGGGCGGTTTTTTTTGTTTTTTATATTAAAGTCCTAAGCTAAAGCTCTAGGTCCACTATCGGTACAAGACTGGTGGAGCCGGCGGGGATCACTGCTCACAGGCCCAACTCATTCCAACCGCCAGACCCGCTACAGAAAAAGTAGAAGGTAAATTATAACTCAGAAGACACCACCTACTCCGACTCCGAAATCGAAACTCCATCCTTCAACCCTAAATCCAAGTACAGAAAAATTTCCTCAGAGAAACGACACTTCTCGCCTCGTTCCCTTTCGTGTCATGCGTTGTGGCAATGATTAGTTTATCTGATCCCCGCTGAGAGCAGTGGATGAGTGGGCAGGTTGGCTATCAAAACAGCCGGTTTCCTCCGCAAATATTTTAAAGCTATCGTGGCACTTGGGCCCGAGAAGCTTTTTTTTTTTTTTGAATCATATTGTATTCATACGAGAAGCTTTTTGATAAATTCAGCGTGTGACATTGACTTTCTGAGCCTACGCGTTTGTTGTGCGTGACGGCTACAGTGGGTGAAGTGGGTTGGAGTAGTTTCCTTCCCGAAAGAGCACTCCATAGGAGCGTGTGGATTATTAAAATGGCGATGGTATGCCGCAAAACTGCCGTGACCCGTTCGTGCTGCGATTAATGCCCGGAGGAGGTGCCTAGAGAGAGACAGTTCAGGTGGTTTGCGTCTCCCCACCTGTAGGTTGAGTTGGCTGTATTTAGGCGGACAGGCCTCTTCCCACCAACTGTCCAGCAATCTCTGCCGTCTGCGATTCATGAGGCCTCGAAGATGTGCCAGAGTACTAGATCCTGGTTGCGTATCCGGGCTAGGCAATTCTCGAAGTGCTGCACGGGCCATGGCGTCTGCCTATTCATTTCCTTGGATTCCTGCGTGCCCTGGAACCCACGTTACTGATATTTCAGCCTTATTAGATAACGCACGGAATTTGCGTACATCTCAGGAAGGGCGGTGTGTGTGTATTTGTTTATTGTCCTAAAAAGTCTGTAACTATGTAAGGACATGTAGGTCCATTCTGCCTAAATGCCGGGAGTATCTATGCCTTGGGTAGTGTACTTCCTCCTATGCTTCCTTCACGACTTCTTTCCAGCAGTAATACCCCCACAGGTCTTCATTCAAGTACACACTAAGAGGAGCCGTTATCCCGTAATTATCTCCCCTCTCCAGCCAACGA